TCGATTTTGCCAAAACTAGGAACTTCGCCTAATTCAGACCATGAATGGAAAGATGGCGATATTCGAAAAGACGATGATATAGAGGGTTTGGAGATTGATATGGAGAAGTCTCACTCGCAGTTGTCAGTTTTTATGGACCCGAAAGTAAGTCGACGATTGTCGATGAAATGGATGAAAGAGTCCAAGACGGAGCGCCCAAGCAGGCTACAGAGACCACCCTCAGAGGCATTATTTTCTCCAGTATTGAACAAGGCCAATCCATTCCAGCAAGATCCTGAAGATATTGTCCCTCCTCGCCTACTACAATTAAACACAAGAATAAGCCTACTGAACTGAAAGACCCAACATCGGATAGTCAGGGCTCTCGACATCGCGCATCCTACGGTTTTGCTCGCGTTTTACAAGGATCAAATTCTTCCAATTTTTCATCATCGAGTCGCCTGCCGTTTGTATTCGAGAAGAAGGAAATCGAAGAGAGACAACCCGGACAAGGCTCTAAAAAACACAAGCAAAAAGCGGCGAATAATAATGATAATGAGAAACATTCATCTCGTCTGGGAGGCAAGTCTGCTCGAACAGATCTTGCGAATACTGATGAGCCGGCCCGTCGTTCGTTTGTGCAAAAAATAGAAAATAAAGGTCGTAAGCTTTTCAGAAAAGGCAAAGCGAAAAAGGCGAGGCCTACAATTTTACCATCGAGACCGACAATTGAGGTTTTTGACAATGTTAAGGAAGCAGTCAAGGAATCTGACGATGAAGAAGGGCATGAAGCCGAAGAAGAAGACGACGATTTTGAGAGTGAATCACGATCATTTTGCATGAACAGGACCGACGCGTTTGACGAGTCTCTAGGTACTGAAGAATTTTATTCCATGCTCAGGCAAGTGCCGACAGATGAATTATATATCGATTATTCGGCGTCCACATTTCTGGGACAAGACTACGACGACGCACCTGCGCCCGAGTTCGAAAGATCGGCGACGGATGGAGGAACTGCACAACCAAGAGTTGCGTTCGTGAGATCATTGGCAAACTTGTTGGCTGATCGCGGTGCATCTGCTTTGAAGCCTTTGGACTATCCGTTACAATCTACAGAACATGTGGTCCCTGATTCGAAAGTTATTGTTAGAGAAGATGAACCCAGTTCCATCATAGCATTTACGCTGAGCTCCAAGGACTATCTCGAAAAATTACATTCTGTACAAAAAACTCAGCAGCCATCTACGACATCTTCAGAGAGGTTTATGCCTGGCGACGAACTAAAAAGCGGTTCACAAGGTTCGGATTGGGGAATATTGGACGTTGATGCTGGGGACGCGTTGCTGAGGGAGACGGGATCACATATAAAATATCAAGTATCGGAAGGATCTACAAAGTTATTATGTAAGATATTCTTCGCTGAGCAGTTTGATGCTCTGCGACGTAACTGTGAATGCGACGAGACCTATGTCCAATCACTTGCACGTTGTGTCAAGTGGGATTCTTCTGGTGGTAAATCCGGATCAGCATTTTTGAAAACAAGAGGTTAGTATTGTATAACTTGTTTATATGATTTGTTGCGCATGCTAAAACTCACATTGTGTACGGGTCTTAGATGATCGTCTAGTAATGAAACAGATGTCGCGTCTGGAATTTGATGCTTTCCTAAAGTTTGCACCAGCATATTTCAACTATATGCACAAAGCATTCTATCAAGAGGTACGAGTAGACTGAAGTTTGATTATCGCCTATATACTATTAGTCTTCTGATATCTGTTGTGTTACTAGCTTCCGACAGTTTTGGCCAAAATATATGGATTCTATCGTATTGGGTACAAAAACGAACATTTAGGCAAGTCTATCAAGATCGATGTGATTGTCATGGAGAATCTTTTCTATGAGCGAAAGATATCAAAGGTAATGTGTCTTGATTGTTTGCAAGAGACTGTTTGACTTGGAGTTAATCCCACGACTTTCAATTTAGATTTTTGATTTGAAAGGGTCAATGAGAAATCGTCATGTGCAAAGTACCGGGAAAGAGAACGAAGTATTGTTAGATGAAAACTTACTTGAATGTAAGTTCAACTGCATAAGTTGAATCCAAGTTTGGTTGGTTTTACTATAACTGATTTATTGCTTTACAGTGTTGAACGACAAGCCATTGTTTCTTCACGAACATTCAAAGGCGGCGTTATACGTCTCGCTATGGAATGATACACTCTTCTTGTCACAACAGAACGTGATGGACTATTCGTTACTGGTTGGAATAGATGAAGAGAATCGGGAGCTTGTAGTGGGCATAGTTGGTTAGTTTTTCTCATTGCTTGTTATTGATAAACAACAGTGACCTTTATTGACAATAAGTTGCTTTTCGCAGATTTCATTCGTCAATTTACCTGGGATAAAAGACTGGAAAGTTGGGTGAAAGAGACTGGGTTCCTTGGGGGTGGTGGTAAGGAGCCTACAATTGTATCACCTCGTCAATACAAGCGCCGGTTCCGAGAGGCTATGGACAGGTATATAAGGAATGGCAAGTGCGTTTGTCCTTTATGAATCAAGTGACTAACTAGTATATCCTTTTTATTGTTGTTTTAGATACTTCTTGATGGTACCTGACGTATGGTTTACCTTTAAAGATTATCACAAGAATCGAGCAAGGGCGATCGAGAGAGCTAGTGATAGCTAGTGAGTCAAAGTCAAAGTAGCCAACACATTTCACACAGTCAAATTATACTGGCGGATGACGTAGTTTTTATTTACTCCAAAAAACGTATTTCGTGTAATATTTGTATATTCATTCTTTTTGGTATTTAATGTTGCCAGACAGACCTGTAAAATAGACTTCTTATTTACTGGCATTCTTTGTTGTTGTATGAGATAATAGCTATTTATTGTGTTATCATTAATTGCAGCTGTTGCGTAAATAAGTGGCATTGAAAAGAAATGAGGCAGCAACTAGATTTTTCGTTTCACCGACAATGGCAGATGTCAATGCACCGAATTAATTTAGCCGCAATAAATCGCAACAGTACAGGATTAACTGACATAAAGGAACGAACACTATTACAATATTGAGTTCGCCTAAGCAAGTCAATTGATAAAAGAATACGAAAGTAATGCATGGTTTGCAAAATGATAAAGCTCGGAACGAAGACATGATTACCAATTAATATACTAGACGCAACTGAATAAGAGAACGCGAGAGATTGCATAGACGATACTTACACTTCATTAATATGTTACATCCCAGATACGACGTAAGTCATCGGAAATAGCCATTGGAATACAACGACGTTCTGTACTAACCACATACACCTGTTCCTTTTTTTTCTTCTCTACATCATCTCTCAACAATTTAAAGCTGGAGATTGTCGCGTATGGCCGCACGACCGTAATGCATACATTAGAATTTTGACTTTGAGCTATGGTAGACTCTGATCCGACACACATCATCTTGTTACTCTTTGTGGATGCAGTAAATCGACATTCCAAAGTCGAAAATATTCGTGATGTCTCGGTTGGTGACGGAGGTCCACACTCGGACAGACCCTTGTATGCATGTAACAGAGGAACGTAGTGTCGTAATTGTTTCAACCAGTGCTCGTATTCTTGGACTCTGATGTACAATTTGAATTCCTTATCGAGTACAATTTTCAGTTCGAGTTTATTTAGCTCGTCTTTGGGAATACCCATCAATAAAGCCCAAGCTTTGTTTTCCCACATATAATCGTCCAAGTACTTCTGGGCGAAAATAACAGCAATCGTAATAAAGCGAGTTACTGAGCCGAAATCAGCCTTAGTCAATGCATTCATTTGTGCTAACATTCGAGCAAAGAAGAGAGCAATGTAGATCGCGTGCTCTTCTAGTTGAACCATGTGAAAAAGCTTAAAGATTGGTAAAACATATTGGGGTAAGATTTTGACCCACAAACAAAAGGCTATGGGTTCAGGTCAAATAAAAAATTGAAAAAGACGAACAGCGAACAAAGAGAATTTTCTCAGTCATGAGAATACATTACTTGATTAATGGCCTGAACTAGCTCATCGCTAGCAAGAAACGGCAGATGCTCGGGCCATCTCATAGCTGGGAGGCCATCATGACGGTGACACGTATACAGTTGATGAAGTATATGCGCTGCCATCTCGTAAAGTAAACCATTTAATCGCGTCGGTTTATTTCCATTTGTTTGTCCAGCCGTCATATCTGAGTAGTAGCGACAATATGTAGAAAGTATTTCATGGAGATTTCACAAAAATACACACACAGAGTATATATATACACACAATACATACAGATACATACGAAAAATGGTGGGTGATTTAGAATGGCTATCGAAAAAGAACACTATCAAGACGCGTCTTTCCGTGTAATAAAAATAAGAAACGCGTAAAATCACGCTTTCGCTGTTGCAAATAGTATTCAAGAAGCGGAGCTGTTTGTAAAAAATACAAGGAGCTCTCACAAGATTTTGCTCATATGAATGGTTTAAAAGACATAAACATTCTCTGAACAAGACAAAAAACCCACTTTGTTGAGAGAAAAGAACCCCATGTCAGAAAAAAGTTTCCTAGTGGCTCACCTTAGCAGTAAGTAACCAAACAACCACCCCGAATGCGTTTAGAAATGCTGAGGGTTATTTCGAGAATGTTTAAAGGACTGCCTTATGAGGGTAGACGAACTACCAGAGAAATAGTGGTAACAAAGCAGAATAATCTAGTCCCTCTCTCTCTTTGCTTATTATTATAGTGGGAATGCACAAAACAATGATTACAAACCCGCTCTGTAGGTCAAGTTTCACAATAACGTGATCTGCGGGATTTTTATTCGTCACCTGCATTTCTTCGCTTTTATAGATGAGGAAGGGCGTTCGCGTGATCAACTGCTGCGCAACGAGGGCCCTATTTTCACGCCGCAGAAATTGTTCAATAACCGTCAAGGAAAGATTGTCATTGACCCTCTCCAATATCTCAAACAGGTTTATGGTACTATTATATATACAATAAGTGACATACGAGCAATGACGGACTAATAATACATGGAAAAAGAAGACTATGCCTTCAAGCATGGGCTGAATCTTATCTTTCAAACGGCTACATTACTCAAACGCGTAGTTTTACTACGGAGAATGTTGTACCACACAATTAGTAATTTGTGTGACAAGTTGGCGCAAAAAACGGCGTAGCGCAAAATTATTCAAGAAGAGCGGAGCTCGCAAAAAAAAAAATTTCATTTCGCAAACCAAAGTATATTTTTTTTTACAACTTTCACAAATCTCTTTACTATCTTATATTGATAATACAAAATGGCCAAAAGTATTCGAAGTAAATCCAAACGTCGCTTCCGAGCCATAAAACGTCAGAATGTATTCGCACCAGTTGAAGAGGCCCGCCTACAAAGACTTGCGGCTAAGCAGGCCAAGACTTCTGATAATAACAATAGAATGGACTACGAAGCACAAACAACGACAGTCGAAGAGGATACGCAAGGTTCGTCTTTGTATATGGCTCTTGGACTAATTGATACAGAGTTTTTGGATGTAGGAAATATAATGGGATGGTTGGATATTTTGAACGAGTTATTGAGCGCATGAACTGAAGAATGTTCTGATCGATATGTGATAGCTGTAGTAATGGATGTCGATGCGCCTAAAATATCAACAAGCACACCGAAAAGTAAGAGGCATAGGGAAAAGAAGAAAGGGAAGAAGAAGGGAATGAGTAAAGCGAAAAAGAAGAGTCTTAATGTGTTAGTCCACTTTAGGAGATGATTTTGGTTACGAGGAATTACAACAACTCCAGTATCGAACTAATTAATGGGACATTATTGGTCGTATCATTGTTCTGGATATCCGTCAACTTACGATATCACACAGCTTCTTTATAGGAGGGTCGGAAACAAGTGAAACGAAAGACAGTTAATGCTGGGTGGGTATTCGTTTGACTGATATTTGAACGTTTCTGTATAAATATTTTTCATAGAACTTTTCTGATTGTAGCAGAAATCATTGCTAGAGTTATATATATGTAAATTCTTCTCATCATGTTTTTACTGCTATCATTGTACCGATTTTTAATCATGTTTCTGATTGGATTCTCTCCAGTCAATAAATCTCTTTTCGTATTCTGAGCAAACATATGAACGATCAGCGATGACATACTAGCTTGTGAATGTGCTAGACAAGTGAAATGGATACCTTGAATCGGTCTTTGACATTCGTTGGTCCTACCTGTTGATGAATAAGCGTCAAACGATAGGTTTCGGTCACGATCATAAAAGCAATCGTCAATTCATACCAAAGCTTTCGTAACGTCTATTGGCAAACCGGTCGTACAGCGAATCGCGGATCGGTTTAGGAATAAGTCTCCCCATATAATAAAGAATAGACCAGGGTGCGTCCAAGTATCTTGCCATAGCCAGTGATGAGTCTGATTTGAAGAATATTTTAGGCATTGGGAGATTTAGTGGATCGGATTGGGGAATGTCAAATTCAAGCGCGATTGCAGTCGAAAGATTAGTTGGCAGGTTGTAATGTGAAAGCAGATTCGATGCGACGGTTGATTGTAAGGAGGCGAAACGTATGATTGGAGGTCTATTATTGTGTTTAATGATGAAATTGACTGACTGGTTGCAGATGTTACAGACGCCTATCAATATATGGCCAAGTATTAGCGACGGATACAGTCCTTGGATAGATTGATCACCGAATTAATATGATATGCTTGCCATCATAAAATAGAATGACATTGCGTCCTGCTTTAAGGTTCAATAACTTGAGCGTATGCTGAGTAATCATTCTGCAAATGAAATTGAACAGAAATATTGAGAAATCGAATGCTTTGGCTATCATGTTAGAATTATGTCGTTAATATAATGTTTGCGTACACAGTGACGATAACTTGTTTACACTATATCACTATGCTCAGTACTCTCTTATCGTTATGGTTAATGACTACCTCGTACTGATGTTGGGACGTATACTTACGTTAAAGGAGATTATAATCCGTAGTTGCACTGTTAAATATCAGATGGTTAACAAAAATGAGCATTGAATAAAGTACAAGTGTTTCTCTGCAGCATTAGATAAACGTTCAGAAAAGTATTTGAATAGGTAGCGTCGGTGTTTTCATCAACACTATACGTGAACGACAGACAAATGCCGGAATCATCCTTACTTAAAATACGACATCCTTAAACCCCAAATACGTACCGTAAAGTGCTTTGCCACCGTCGTCATTTTCAGTCAATGGGGAAAAAAAAATACCCCTACGTTACACAATAATATCGAAATCATCCACCAGAAGTCTCTATCTTTTTATCACTCTCAGATTGCGGTGGCAATGGTGGCATACCAACATCGCTGAAATCATCCTGTTTCACTGCATACATTGAATACGCGTCTAAAAATAGTCTGGTATGTCAAACGATAACACACATACTCGTTTGTGTTCATTCTTTTATTGTCTGTCAGGACTATAAAGGATACACACTGCTCCAACGAAACCAAGTAACCCAATACCAGTTAATGCATTTCGTACAAGCCATGGACGACGTGCTCTTTGTAACGCAGGTGTGAATGTGGAATCTTTCGTCTGATATTTTGATGGTTCGGCAAGCATGATAAGAAAGTGTAAATGAAAAAACTAACCGAAAATTTTTAATTTATGGACTCTCATGTGATAAAAGTATGTTACTCAGCCAATCATTAAACGTAACCTTTTCATCCTCACACAAATGCAGTAATACCCAAGAATGTAACCAAACAGATGCATTATATGTCACACTTAATAATAATTAGCCAATATTAATATAAGTACGGAAGTCGTTGGGGGAAGATATTTGATTATCAGTGAACGACTGCACAATGGCTTAGGAAAACAGACAGCATTAATATGCGAAAACACTGCGTGTATTAATTATTACATGTCACTTCGTAGACATCCGAAAGCTCAATTCCTGACTCGATGGATTCTAGCTCAACAACCAGCTACACGTTCCCGACAGCAAGTGCGTCCAGCGCTCCCTCTACGGAATCTTCTACGTCAATACCGAACAACACTCTAAATCAAG